TTTACGTAATTAGTTTGTATTCATACTATATATATATATATATGTCAATATAAATTAGTATAAATGTTATGTTCTTAATTCATGAATAATGATCCGAATTTGTTACAATACATCGAAAGTAGTTTTACTTAGTAGTCACTTTTTTTATGTTACAAATATGTCACTTTTTTATGTTATACAGACTGCACTTATCGCGAGACCAAATGTGATCCGTTGGCGCTTCGATTAATATTATAACTCTCATCTAGGTTTATACAGTCGGTTAGGGGTTGAAGACCTCCGAGAAAGAGACGTCGCTCTTTGCTCTTTGAAGCTGACGCGGCGCAGAGCCGAGCATGGTTGCGCAACGATCGAATCTAGCCGACTATTCTCGCGATGAAAAGGAAGTAAAATGTGAAAGGAAAGAAGATGAAGGAGATGAGAAAAACGAAGGAAAAACGAAGAGAAGAAAGAATGAAAGGGAACGAGGAAGGAAATGCGGGACGACGCGATAAAAAGAAAACGCAGATGAGAAATGTCGAATCAAAAGATCCGAAATGTTGTATTTTTTGTTGATCAGCAATCTCTTTAAGTAATTTCCAATAAAAACAAAATATCCAATTCCAATAAAAACATACATGTATACATATATGTGTGCATAATTAAAAAATTTTGATGATTTATTTTTCTCCACATGTCTGTACTAATTTGTATTACAGGACACTCGCATTACAGGAAGTTTCGCAGAGGTTAAAGAATATTTTCGTAAAAGATTATATCGATTTTAATATATTAGACAGTACTGATATTAATCGGAGGAGTTTTGCTTCATAAAAATCTACTATAAAGCTGAAACGACTCGAAAGGCGACGTATCATATACGGCGAACTGACAGAAGGCGACGCGAACGAGACGCAAACAATGAAGAAACCGTAAATGGAAAGTGAGGGCATTCAGAAAGAGGGCATTATTGAAAATGTTGGGGGTGCTTATATAAAGGAGATGTCGAGTACGATTACCTTTCGTTACCGTCGGTGTCCTTGGGCACCTTAATCACGTAGTACACGTGGCCGCCGTGGGTGGTCGTCATTTTTCGAATGTTGCACCCAGCAACATTTGACAGCACAGCAATCTCCGAAAGTCTCTCTCTCTCTCTCTCTCTTCTCTCTCTCTCTTCTCTCTCTCTCTCTCGTACGTTACGTACTACGTACGTACGTACGTACGTACGTACGGCCGTCGGTCGGTCGGTTCGTACTTTCGTTAATTACGTTGTCCTACCACCGACCACCAACCTTATTTAACCGTACGTAACCGACCCAACCCGGAACGAACCTTAACTTCCCCCGTTAAAAACCGGGAAAACCGGTTTTAACCCTTCCCGGTTTACCCTTCCCTTTCCCTTTCCCGGTTCCCTTACCCCTTCCCTTTTTTTCCCTTTTCCCGTTTAACCCCGTTTCCCTACCCTTTCCCCTTTTTTTACCCGGGTTACCCGTTTCCCCCTTTTTACCCCCGAAACCGGGTAACCCTTTTCCCCCCCCAAAACCCCCCCGGGGAAAAACCGGGTCCCGGGAAACCCCGGTAAAAAAAAACGGGGTTTAAAACCGGGAAACCCCGTTTCCCCGTTTTACCCCGGTTTAAAACCCGTAAAACCGGGTTAACCCCCGAAACGTTTACCCGGGTTTAAACCCGTTTTACCCTTTACCCAAACCCTTTCCCGTTTTTAGGGTTTTAAAAAAAAAACGTTTAACCCCGGTAAACCGAACGGACCCCTTAAACCCCGAAACGGAAACGAACTCGGAACCGGAAACCGGTACCCCCGTCCCTCCGTCCTAAGAAAGTAAACGTTCGGCCGTATTTCTTCGTCGCGGCGACTGAAGAGACAACGTAAGTATTTTATTTTAAGTCGTCGTCGCGACATAGGCGGAGATCTTTCTCTACTACTCTTACTACTCCTCTCTCTCTCTCTCTCTCTCTCTCTCTCTTTCTCTTTCTGACGCTTGTCCATTCTTTTAAGAGATGATTTTAGAATGCTCGAGGAGAAAGAGGAAGAGCCATTATTGCGTTATTTCAGGACTGATCGCGTTTGCCAAGAGGAAAGTCTTCCATCGAGTGTTTTCTGTTTTGCCTGACACGAAATAGTCTATCGAGTGTTTACCGCCGGCTCTCTTCTGACATAAGAAACCGAGAAGATTGATGGAATAAACGAATACTATCTGGGATGTTTCAAAATTGATACGAGGACCAATGCGTGTTAATACAATAATTTCTTTAATTTATTACACGTAGAATATTTCGTAACTAATGATAAAATAAGTTGGAAAGGTAGAAGAAAATTTTTTCATGAAATTGTATTTTCGGAATAATCAACTTTA